CCTCACAGGTACCTACCTGACCCTAAAACTAACCTAAACTCAATTCACACCTTGGTCCTAAACCAAACCCCCAACCCACCAACGGCATTTAAACCAAACAGGGACTCAATTTAGGTCCCCAAATGTAGGATTTCTTTCTTAAAATTGCCCCCAAACATCACCAGAAACAACCCCCCACCCCACACACACATCCTTGTACTTCCATCAAACTGAGGAGTTTGTATTGACTTCCATTCACTTTTGTAATTGCATTTATGCCTAACCCAGACATTTCCCCTAACTTTAACCATTACTGGTCTATAGTTAACTCTAACCATTACTGGTCTATAGTTAACWCTAACCATTACTGGTCTATAGTTAACTCTAACCTGAACCAGAACTTAATTCACACCAAACCTCTAAACCTAACTAGTAGAACGCAGTGGAGCTGCAAAAAAGTGAGGACTGGGAAAAGGTCCTCACTTTACACCAAAGACCTCACTTTGATAGTAACTATTTTGCAAGTGGTTCTCACTGAGTAGCAGAAACAAGTACACACTTCCCAGTGGGATGCAACAGTATTAGATTCAGCCATCCAGGTGGGGATGAGACCAGCCTGTTTTTCTTTACCATGGATGAACCATCATATCTGGGATGCTGCAGACTCTTTCACCCCCATCTCCCCATCAGACACACACCTGTTCCAGATTAATTTACACATCAAGTTTTCAAGGAAGTAAAAAAAAAAAAACAGAACAAAAAGCATCAGCCCCAAACTTCAAAATACCCCTACAAGGTATCCTCACCTGCAGAGCACCTGTTTCCTGCACTGCAGTTGTTTTTGCCTCTCACCTTTGTTTAAAAGCCTTTTCAGCCATCTCACGAGCAGCTCTGCGGACTTCTTCTGGAACAGCATCCTTTTCAGCCTGGGAAACCTGGTAAACCTTGTGGCCGGCATCAAGGCGATAAGGACCCCCTTTACCCCCCAGTCCTGCAGTGTCTCTGCCACCTAAGGACAAACATGTCCAAGTTTCATGATGACACATTACCTTGCATTCATTATCATTACATCATCAACATTATCATTAGAGTTATTATTACTGAGGATAACATTTATTGAACATTTACTTGTTTTCATATCATATTCACAAAGCTCGATTAAAACAACCACCTGCCCAAGAATTAAAACAGGTGGAGGGTTAGTGTCTTGCCTAAAGGCAACTAAGTAGTTGATGACAGAGCAGACCACCTCCCTCAATCTACACATCCTTAGAGATGATCAGTCAAAGTAACCTCTTTGTAAAAGTCACTGCAAGCTTTTAAAAAAAATTCCAGATGTCCATGATTCAGAAGCAGTAAGAAATACCATTACCTGTGCCTCCAGCCCACTGGTTCCCCCCAACATGAGGAGCATTGTGCGGATCAATCTTGCCATGTTTTGGACTCGACACATCCAGGCCACTGTCTTTCTGAACTGTGATCTGTAAACAAAACAAACAACAAAACAACTACATTATAAACCTAACTAAAACGAGTGAAATTGCATTTCTTATGAAAATACATTTAGAAAGCTGACTGAGTGCAGCAAACTGCTGAAATTTGATGAGGAAACTACAACTGATGGAAGTAGTTTGTGTGAGGGCAGAAGATGCAGAAGACAGAYTGACATTGAAGAGGATGACTCATTGTGGCGACCCTTGAAGAGGGAACAGTCAGAAGAAGAAAAATAACAACAACAACAACAAGAAAGTAATAAAGCACAAGCCCAAGGCTAAAATCAGTAAAACACTGCTTAAAAGCTTAAATCAGCAAATCAGTGAACAAAAGAAAACCATCAAAATAGTAGGTAAAAGCTTAAATAAGCACAACAGTAGCTAAAATCTAAAACCAAAATTTAAGATCGCAAAGTTTTTCAAGGATCTGAAATTTTCGATTCACTTCTATGAGTAGGGAAAAAGCAAACGAAATCAGAGTCAGCATTRACTCTATCAGGAAAATTTACTTACAAAATGTTTCAGATTACATGCTAGCTAAAACACTAAGAATCGAGGTTTCACCTTTTCCAGTATCGATTTGTTCAAGAAGGAGGTAAAGTTTTTGTTATGTTTTGTTGTTTGAAGACTATTATTGTTTCAATTGATTTATTTTAAAGAAGGGGCAGATATCAATAAGAATTTCTGCTACATTTCATTTTATTTGTGTTGTATTATCATTTGTTGTATGTATTTGTTTTGTTTTTAAATGAAATGAATAAATTTGTTTTAAAAAATTATGTTTTGGTTTAACTCAACTGAAATAGTACATGGGTATGGGATAAATTTTGTACCAGCAGGAATTGAATTTCTGAATTTTAAATTGAATGCATTGGTTTGAAAATGAATTTTACTATATTGAAACTGAATTTAATGATTTGAAAC